AAAGATTTCTAGGTAGTAAGCAGGATAAATTTGTAAAATAAAATAATTGATGAGTGTAAAAAGTTAATTTGAACCTGATCATAAAATGTAAGATAATCAAGATCGACTTTGCAATATGTGATTCACATCAAAATCCTTTAAACAATCCCAAAGACCGATCTTTAACCAGTCCCAAAGACCACATCTAAAGACCGGTCTTTTGGGACCGAGACCGGACCGGACTGGACCAACACAACCCTACATGTCGTGTTTAAAAATTTGGGCACAAATCCTAATTGGCTAACGCGTTTTTTCTGTTCACACAGATTATTTATTACATACAAACAATAGTAATAGGGTTTACTTTTTTTCTATTTGTTTATTTTTTAATTAAACAGCAATAAATGTCATTTAATCAATTATTATCACATGACAGAATGCAATTTGTATCCAAAATTTATGCTAAAGTCTTTAATAATGCTCTGTTAACTGCAAATGATATTTATAATAATGGTTCATCAAACACATCTTTCAAAGAAAAAAATGAAAAAGAATATTGCAAAGAGAAGGTATATTTATTATGTTGAATTAGATTATGCAATGTATGAAAATGGATAACCAAAGGATGCAAAAAATGTAATGCGACAAGATATTCTACTAAATTTTGTGAAAATTGCATTTAGCCTGCACCTACAAACTCTTTTTTAATGCTTGGTCTTCAAGAAATAAAATTGTTGATGATTTTATTCAACAATCCCAAAAACTTTGCTCTTCCAGGAAATATAATAGAATGGATCTCATTTGATCAATTCAAAGATATTGAATATCCAGCTAAAGGATGCTTTGGTGATATTCATATGGCAACGTGGTCAAGGGGATATATAAATGATTATGAAGAAGATAAAAAGGAATTTAATTATTTTAGAGCATAGTATGTGGTTTTAAAATATTTAAATAATTCAATTAACGTTGAAATTTTTGACGATGTCAGTAGTAAATTCATTTTAAAACAAAAATGAATGATTTGTATATTATAACACAATATTAAATTAATTGAGCTTATCTATATTTTCAGATATTGGATTATTGTAAATTAAATCAATATTGATTGTTAATTGCTATGGTATAACTAAATTTACAGATAATGAGAAATATGCGATTGTTTTAGGTTATATACCAGAAGGTAATTTAAAAAATTATTTAAAAAAAATCACACAAAATTAACTTTAAAAGATAGAATTATGTTTCTTGAATATTTATGTAATTCGTTATATCATATACACGAAAAAGATTTAATCCATCTACTGTACATTGTGGTAATATACTAGTAGGTGGTGGTTGTTATATTACAGATTTTGGATTATGTGGACCAGTTGATGAATCAAAAAAAATTATGGATCATGCCATATATTGCACCTGAAGTTCTTTAAGAAAAAAAAAATAAGCAAAAGAATCAGATGTTTATAGCATTTGATTGTTAAGACCAGAAAGTTTGTTGAGTCTCCCAGAAGATTATAAACAAATGATGCGAAAATTATGGATCCATCTAAAAGACCAACTATTAGAGAATTTTGTGACTTTGCTTTGAATTATTTAACTAAAGTTTATAAAAATGAAGTTTTAAATAATAGTGGTAGTGATGTTAGCAACAACAACAATAATAAAAACATTACCAAAAATAATAATATAATCAAAAAATTAATTAAATTAAAATTTGTAAATTTATTAAAAGGAAAAAAATATACACCCAACAGCAATAATGATAAAAAACATTACCAACAACAATAATAATATAATCAAAAATCAATGTAAATTTTATTAAAAGAAAAAAATATATGCCTGATAGCGATATCATAATAGCATCAAAATGATTATTCCATTGATGATAATAATAATGATGATGGTTCACAATTGAAAAAATATGAATCACGCCCATAAGCATATAATACAAGTAGAATATTCAAAAGTTATTAATCCTAAATCAAATGATAATAACTATAAAGTAGTAATTCTAGTTTATGAGGCTTCAGTATATGAACCTAAAATTCCTTAGCAAAGTACTGGAATCAATATTATTGCTAATGTTAAATATTAATAATGTTAACCCTGGGTTAAATTGATTAATTATTGTTTATTTATTATTTAAATATAATTTTTTTCTAATTAGTGGAAAATACGCTTTATGAAGAGTAGTAGTAGGAAATGTCATTGTAAACGAAATTGAGAAGTTGACGAAAATAATAAAAAACAACAAGATTTTAAGATCCAAGATTTAACATAATCATTTGACTTTTAAAGGTTTAGATCCATTCGTGTTATTTATTAGAATGTAGTTTCACTTTAAACTTTATAGTATTTATATTATTTGATTTGATTTATTACTTTGAATATCCATATCCATCCGT